GTGTGAAGTCGTAAAGATGAAAAGAAAGGAAGAAGACCGTTGGAAGGCAGACTATTAATTTCAGACCTAATAATATATGTAACCAAGCCCAAAAACTAAGCCCATGAAATAACAAAAGCCCAAATAATGGAACCCTAAAAAATCGATATATCGGTCCGATATATACATTAAAATATCGCTAAATATTGGGAAAAATCGCCGATAATATCGGGGACGATATTTTGACCGATATTTATGCAGCGATATTTTGCCTAGGTCCGATATCCGATATATCGTCGATATATCGCGATATTAACAGCATAGGTTACAGGTTCAACAGGCAAATGGTCAAAATAGGTAGAAAAGAGAGATTTTTGGAACTCTCTTACATGTTGATATATTTTGTCCACAGGCTAATTCTAATGAAGAACGAAATACAAAGAGTGTTTGAACCAAAACCTGAACAATGTGATGAACAATCCTTTCAGGCACCATCTTCTGTTTCAAAAGCTCACCAATCAAACGGATGTTTCCAAGTGTACGAAGCTTAACAATTCTTTCTTTATCTCTACGCTCGGCCTCTTGCTCGGGGGCTGTCATCTGCCTTATCTCTTGCCTCAGGTTGTCTGCACCTTCAAAAGCCTCCTGGCAATTATTCAACAGCACGCGCTTGAATGTGATCTCTTTTCCACCAGGCTCATCAGATGGAAATGGGGGGAGCTTCCCATTGAGATCCGAACACAATTGAGCGTACATTGGGCAAAATGTAGGTTCGAGTACAGCTTTGTCAAATATCAAGGATATCACACCCTGTATTGTCAACAGTAACAGGATTATCTTCAATGGTCCAATGGCAATAGCAGGAAAAAATAAATAAATACAGAACAATGTTCATAGAAATTGACATAAATATGTGATAGATATGAACCTTCAGAATATCAGCTGTTGTGATCCCTGAGTCAATAAGTTGCCCTTTGAGAAGATCAAACTTCTCTGGAGTCAGCTTGTTCAGGATACTGAAAAGGCAAGCAAAGTCATCCAGTGTCAATACAAGAATGAGCATCGTCAGCTTCCTCATCGAATTTCATTGTGTTTAAACAAAACCACACTGATACAAAAGATAACCCTTGATACTTCTAATATTAAAATAATAATAGATAAAACAGTAGCTGTGTGCGACCAATTTGCCCCTTTGACCAACAGGCAACACCCTTTAACCAATGAAAATGGACTGGGAGACTAAAAAGGGCAAAAATTGATCCAGGGACCACAAGTCTTCAGAAAGTAAAGGATGAACCAGCAAGATTGCACATAGTCGATGGGTGATTTTGGTAAATCACTTTAGAAACATAATAATCATTCGCAAAGTGGAGAGCTAAAACATATTGGTGGTTCTAAATTTCAATTTTAGTCATAGTTTATAAATTCAAGCTATCAAAGGTAAATCAAAATGCTGCATCCTCGACATATCCATCAAACTTTTAGTACTCTTTACAGATGCTTAAGAATAAGAGTTAGAAAAACTTAGTGTACTTTCCACATATTCCAACAAATAACATAAAAATCAGTACCCCTAAGAAACAAAAGTTCTCATCCTTAAACAGTAGTAGCATAATCTGTAATATGAAGATTAACAATAGTTTACCCTTTTACTGTCTTCAAGACACGGTCATTTTCAGAAAGAGTCCCCCTCCGAGCAGACCATGGCACCTCAGCTTTGATAAGGGCAGGAGTAGGGCCACTCTGTTCCAAAAAAAAGAGAACCAACTTATATTTAACACCCACGGGTATGAACAAAATCTCAAAGCATAAAACACAGCATCACCCAGACATATATGCTTCGGTAGTTGTGGTCAAAATCCACAAGAAACTGTGACCAACCATGTATCGCACAATAGAAAAGAGAAGATATGCATATGATACAGTAACTATCATCATATATCCAAATGATAAGCAGTCACAGATAAGCACTGTCACAAACTAAATCATGTCTGTAAAAATTAACTTAATGCAGACATTGGAACCAATGATTTACTTGAAGAAACCTCAAGTATCACATGTTATCTTTTTAAAGGAAAAATGCAAATGACAGGAGCACCAAACTGGATATTCTGTTTTGTTGAAGGAAAACAGCGCCCAAGGATTTCCCTTAACCATATGAAGTACCCAAAGAAATAGATAGTTGAAAAATATATCATGAGCATGCAAGGATGACAAATGATATGTATAGAACCAAAAAGAGTGATGGTTGTATTTATTGCATAAACAATTAAAGGAACCCCGCAATCATAATTTACTTAAATCGGCTGCAATTTCATCACTTAGAAGCATGGAAAAATGTAACACTTAAAATGTTTTAGAAGATGAAAATGCACTAAATATTTATGAAAAATCAGTATCAACGACATTATCTTACTAAAGAACTCACCCCTTGGTTAGGAGTCTGTGCTCTACCAAACTGTGAGTTCAGTTGGTCATGACGATTATAATGATTCGTGTCCTGTTGCCTGTTGTCAAAACGGCCAGAATCCCTATTGTCTCGGCCAGCATCCCAAGACCTCTCTTCCACGGAAGTAGGACCTGAACGTCCTCGCCAGTCACGATTATCAAGCTCCGAATAACGTGCCTGAGGAAGACTTGGCAGCTGCAGAAAAATAAATCATTATATTGAAACTTGAAAGAGAATAAACTGTAACAGATGAAAGAACTAGTGCAAGCGACTCTTCCTCGAGGAGAGCATGACAGAAAGCTCAGATTCTTGCCTACATATTTTATCTGTAAATATGGAAGTATGAACAATACTTACATTTGCTTCTGCTTTGGTCCAGTTTTGATCGTCACCAAAAAACTCGGCGTCAACTTCTTTTTTGACTTTAAGAATCTCCTCAGGGACATCTACAACCTACTCAGAATAAGGGGCAAACATATCAAATCAAACATAAACAGTCAAACATTGGTGCATAAACCTCCATCTTTGGTATGGCTCTTAATTGTAAAAGAATTAGTTAGGTAGTGGGAAAACATATCAACCAAAAAGCCAGATCAAATAAATAAACCTCCCGGTTTTGAATTTTAAAAAAATGACAAAAGTGAAGTAAGCATAGCATAAAAAACTCCAATAAACATCATTATGAAATGCTCCATTACCATTCAGGCTATAACAATATAACATCAACAAAGTAGCATGCATGCCAACATGTATTAGTTAAGCATTACCTTTCTAAGTTGTAGCAGCTGGTCTCTGGTATACCGAACACGTTCACGGACTTCAAAGCGGGAATCACCAGTCTAGAACAAGAAATGATGAATAGGTAAAAAACACTTTACCGAACAATATGACATGAAAAACTAGGCCATCAACAATGAAAACAGCTTTTGGTGCGAATAGAGAAAGGAACAGGTAGAGCATCAATAAGTACATTAAATGACGGAAGTCTTTATAATACCACAAACTTTTTGCCGTATCCACATGTTACAGCCTGTTTTCCAAGGTTCCACTATATGCCTATATTAAACAATTTTCCATCCAAAAACATAATTTCATTAATGATTCAAAAGAATTATGTGAATCAAGTTACTAATAGAAGGAACATTGGACATAAATGGTGAGAAACCTTTTCTACAAATAAAAAACATTGAAGAATACTACTGTGTTTGTCAATACATCTTCCCTGTTGTATTTTTATAATACCTAAAAACAAAAAATGAAGTAAAAAGTAACTTACTCATCCTGCCACCGATCAGGACATTCTAAGTTAACGTCATGTATTCCATGTCATCATCACACCCTTTAATGAACACGAATTATTGAATATAATGACGTTTTCAGATTAATATCTTCTACCAGCATAGTTCCCCAAACAATACCCAGATAGAACAAATGAACGACAGGCCAACATTCCATCCAAGCCATCCCATTTCGTAAAATTGTAGTATATGGTAATATAAGGTGTCAGCAACTTAACAAGACATAAGCCTACCAATATGAACTCTATTTGGAAACTGTAATGCAACATAACCCTTTCTTAAATATCAGATAGTTTTCTGGCATCCAACCAAAACAATGACAACAGGGAGTGTTAGTAGAAAAACAAAAAGTAAGAGAGCAAGTCCATAGGCGAGAAGAAGTCTATTGCTAGTTCTTATCTTCTTGATTTTATCTAACTTCCATTCTTCAGAGATTTCTTTGTTCTGTAATCTGAATTAAGAGAAAGAAAACCTTCCCTGTCTTTGTCTTCTTCACCAAAATTGAATACCACCCGAAACATGAACCTTTAAGTCACTAACAACATTAAAACATATGCCAGCACATAAATGCCTTGATAACCTTACTGAACTTGATAAACAGAGCCCATTATCAAGGTATCAAAATAGTCGCTGGTTTCTTTTCACCCTTAGCTTCCCCTCTTACACCAAGTGCAGACTGCTACTATCAATTCACAGAACTTGAAAAATAATTCAAGAATCCATTTTTTTTCATATCAAATCACAGCCCTCTTGGTCCAATTCAATAATCCTTTTACAAAGGCCATTATCAGCTTGCCAGAAATCCCCTACGATAACCCAGACAATAAAGTTACAAAAAAAAAATTATTTATTTCATATGTTAAAACGGCATATTTGCTTTCAGGCATCAAAAGATCAAAACCCACAAAACAAGATTCTCCTATCAACCTACATCTACATGCATGCATACGTGTACGCATACATACAAAAGTAGTCATAATCTAAGCCACATATGATAGTTTTTGACCATCAGTTACATAAACGAGACATGTATATATGCATACATATATATATGTACGTAAGTATGTATAAATGAATGGAAGATAACTAAACAGAATATTCAAAACTAAATCATGATGACGAATACAAATATTAACGACATGAATAAAAATTCAATAAAATGAAAACAAAAAAAGAGCTTAAAATACAAAACCCTAGATCCATACAGGGTAAAATAAATAGGTAACAACCTTGAAGGCGGCGAGAGAAGGAGCGCCAGCTCCGCCATGAGGACGAAGGATTGGAAGATCTGATGAACCGAAAGCCGACGAATCAAAACGAGGGCCAGTGGTTCTTCCTCGATTTCCTCCACCAGGTCTCAAGCTTATTACCGTTTGATCAGCCTGCATACCTCGAATTTTCTCTCTCTTTTTTCTCCAATCGAAACAGTATCGGATCAATTCAAAAGTTGAATCAGCAATTGAAGAACAAAGTTGAATCTATAGAATCAAGATATTTAATTTTGAGATACGAAAGATAGGGTTTTTTTGGGATAAATAGGAAGAGAGATATTGGGGAGGGAGCTTTCTCTCTCCTGTCGGAAGTGAGAGAGAGGGGGAGAGAAGATATGAGAGAGAAAAACCCTTTAAATTTGGTGGTGCGATGCCGTATTTTCTTTTATTCACAAGAAAGGTCCCTAAGGTATCATAAACTACAACTTTGGTCACTCAACCTTTGACTTTTACATTTTCAATCCTTTCATTGAGAATTTCATTTCAATTTGGTCCGTCTTAAAGCATCTCTAACAGACAACAACTATGTTATTCTAAAAAATTATAATTCTGGAAAAAAAAATCTTCAACAGCTATGTTAAACTCTCCTTTAAAATAGAAAAAAAAAACTTAATAGAATAAAGAAATCTTCAAATTAAAAAAAAAAACATAAAATCTTTAACCCTAAAAAACCTATATGTTCATTCTATTTTCTCACCTGAACGGTTTCTTTAATCTCATCTTCCATCCAGTGGTGTCTAATCTAGGCATGGCAACAGGACGGGGATGGGGCGGGTTTTGTAATCCCCGGCCCCGACCCCGGTTTGTAGTAACGTCCCCCAGCCCCGACGGGTACGGGGATTATTATCCCGTCCCCAGTCAAATCTCATGCAATCCGCGATAAAACCTCGATCAATCCCCAGTCAAAGCCCATAAATAGTATCCTTTAGTTTGATTATACTGGGAATCCCCGACCCCGGCCCCGGTTTGAGTAACACCCCCCCCCCCGGTCCCCGGTTTGAGTCTAACGGGGCAAATCACCATCCCTAGTCTAATCGATTGAAGAGGCGGCAATAATGAGATTTTGAGTTTGATTATTTCAATCTAGCGTATACAATTGGAGCTCAGGTAGTGGTGGTTGTTGCAACCACTCTCCATCGAATTTTAGAGTAGAAAGAGCAACAGGGGTTTGTTTCTTCAGATTTTGTTCTTTCGCAGCAATTTAGGGTTTCTTATATAATCTCGATGAATGTGATTGCGTATGAAGAGATCGATTTATGCTTCTTAAATTTTCATTTTAGAATTGAAATTGGTATTCCTTGCATCATCTTCATAGTTTTCATCTTCTTACGTTTCGTTGTGCTTTGATCTTCTTTTTGTTCGAACCTGCTGCTTCTATTTACATTTTTTGCTCAAAATTCTGTTAAGAAGACGATAAATCATTAAAAATTGTTTTTTAAGACTTTTTAAAACTTTGTGCATAAATGTATAGTACTTTGTGCATTAAAAATTGTTTTTAAGACTTTTAATAAACCTGGTTTATAAGGTAGTATAGGTAACTTAAAAAAAATGATTTTTAATTATTTGAGAATAATTACAATCATATGTTTAGACGTATTTACCTTTTGGGTATAAAAATACATTCAAGAATGTCTACACCTACTTTTCAGTAGCGTCATGGCAACATATCAACGTACAACAATAAATCAAATCACATCAAAAGACTTCAACATCTTAAATGACAATTACATTTCATGCAAATCCTATACAGTTATATACGTCATTGAATCTAAATATGAAGTCGTCTCTTATGGACATGGACCGACCTAATGTGGTGGCATGGGTGGCACGTGCCACCGTATTATTTCGCGGCAGAAGAGTAAAAAATTTAGGTTTGTTAACGGTGTTGCCGTATCGTTTTAGAAGGTGCTACCGTATTTCCCTGAAATCCAAATGGTGCAACTAAAACCCAAACAAAACAAAGCCCAAATAACCAAAATCATACTTTTTGTAATTATTTTTGGGTATATATTGACCGTTTTCAAAAAATGAAGATGCATCGGGTACAAGTTTAGGAGTTGTTTATCGGTACTTAGGGCTGTAAACGAACCGAACGAACACGAACGGAGGCTTGTTCATGTTCGCTCGTTTAACTTAACTGAACAAACGAACGAACACGAACGGTAAACGAACAAAAATCTTTGTGTTCGTGTTCATTCGTTTAGAAATAAGGTATGTTCGTGTTCGTTTATGTTCGTTCGTAAACATGCTAAACGAACGAGCTAAACGAACATAAACGAACATAAATAAATATTATTTGAATTCAAAAGTAAATAAATAAAAGATAATATATTAAACTTAATATATAAACGAACATAAACAAACGAATATAAATGAACGGTAAATGAACGAACGTTCACGAACATAAATGAACGAACGAGACTTTTGTTCATGTTCGTTCGTTTAACTAAAACGAACAAAAGAAAATAGTTCATGTTCGTTCATTTATTAAATAAACGAACTTCCCGCCGAACGGTTCACGAACGGTTTGCTGAATGTTTGGTTCATTTACAGCCCTATCGGTACTATAAAAACCATATTTTTTGTAATTATTTTTAGATATTATATTAATTATATGGTGCCACCGTTTGAAAAAAAAAATTTGGGTCAGTCCCTGCTTATAGAGCATTGAAAAAGTTCTTGTTTGATCATTGAAAATAAACTCGCATGTATGTATGCCCATTTCAAAGTTATTTATTGTGTTGTTGTATTTAGGTAGGCATCAGTGTTTTCAAGATAATGCGACACCGTGTTTAAGAAACTCATAGGATGTAAGATTTTATTTTCATTTCAGAGATGGACCCATAAATTTTTTCAAACAGTGATACCTTTTAACTATAAGAAACAAATATAGGGATATTTTTCATGAAATCATCATTGGTCTGTTAGTTATTTCATAGTTCATTGATTTTCATATTTGACATCATGCAATCAAGTCTTTTATTGCAATTATTTTTCCAGAAACGTGATAAATCTGAAATTAAAAGACTAAAAACTAAGGAAATAACAGTAACGGGTCTCAAACTCAGGTCTAGTTGCAAGAAAAGTTTTGCAAACCAACTCTACCATGGAAAACTTGTGTTTTCATTGTAGTTTCAAAATGGTGTCACACAACAAATTGATACGGTGACATTTTTCACGACCATATAATCTTTTATATTGCGAATGAGGAATGAAAGGGTGGCATGCGCCACCACAAAAACCACTTGGGTTCGTCCTTATGTTTAGATGTTGAGTTATTAAAAGGTCATATTAACTTATAGACTTTGTGTTATTTTGGAGTTCTTTCATTGTAACTTAATGGGCTTAATAACATGCATGACTTAATCACTAAGCCATCAATGAATGTCTCTTAACAGCTTATTGATTTAGTCCATGACTTATTCACTAAGCTTTCATGAATATCTTGTATCTATTTGGTCACATACCTCCCTAAAATACCCTCCCCCCTCACTTCACACTTCACAAACAAGAAAAAGAAACCCCCCCCCCCTCCATGGTTGGATCTCTAGTCGGCACCACAACTCCCTCCCTAAATCCCTCATCGATCTCTCTTCACCACTACTCCCTCCCGCAATCTCTTGTTGGCATCATGACTCCCTTCATCGCCGACACCATTGATCATTCTCTTGTTGGCACCATGACTCCCTTCATCACCGACACCACTGGTCATTCTATCGCCAACACCTATGCTCCCTCCAATGCTAGATCATTCCTCCCCACGTTCTGTTTACCGTTGTTGCTCCATTCCTCACCCATCTTTTTCACGGTCCTTGTTTGTTTCTCCATTCATCCTACTCCCTTCTTCTGAAAAATCGAAATACAAATGAGATCTAGGTTATTGTTGATGGTGGAACATTGTTTGATTAAGCGAACGAACCATGGTTCTTGAGATGGGTTTTTCTTCAAAAGTATTTGCAAATAAACAGCGGAACACTGTTAGGTTCTTGAGGTTGGTTTTTCTTCAAAACACATTTGCAAATCGAACACTCTTTTCTCATATGGGGTTTTCTCCAAAATTCCATTTGCTTGAACATTGATGGTGGAACATTGTTCATGGATTTCATGGTAAGTACTTTGACCAAATTGGTTTTGAATAAAGACCTATCAACCAAAAGCTACTGTAACAAAAGGTTTTTTTTTTATTAATCTGGATCTCCAATCCGTTATGCGAGCCGACTAATTCCAGGACGACCATCTGCTTTGCCGATCGTCCGGAGTCACTGCATTTGAACCTCTGTGACCACAAAGAGATTTTTATTCCTCCTTGGATTTGAACATGTGACCTCCTGGTACTTTTGATCTTTGGAGCCAAGCTCAAACCAATCAGACACCTTAATTAAAAAAAATACTGATGATTCAGTAAAACAAAAAACCAAATAGAAAGGTAAAGTAGTAATTTTTATGATTCAGACAGTTATTCCACACAACAAACAAACAAAAAAATTATTATTTTCTACACAGACAAATTTATCTATACAATAAACTTTATCGATATATGACTTAATGAAAAACTCACCCAAACAGTCCCTTAGTGTATAAAAATACCATTTTAACCTTGTGTATAATTAAGTGTTAAATAGAATATGAATGTTTGATAAGTGTTATTGAATTAATAAATTACCTTCCAATTATAAATTAAAAAAAATGACATCAAGTAACATCAATCGAAAGATATCATATACAAACAAAATGAGCATTCTATGTCCGAATCACTTTTATTATGCAAAAGACAGTTTTGCATGATTGTTGTATGATCTTTTTCAATGTCGAGATCAAATGAATCTCTCATTAGTACTTTTGAAAATAAAAGACTTAGGTCTTGTTTGTTTTTACCTAAAAAACACTTAATACCCTCTTATGTTTAAATCGGTCAAACCTTAGAGTATTAAGTGTGTTTTTTTTTTTTTTTTTCAATTAAGAGCTTAAAAGCTCTGATTATGTCTGAATTATTTAGAGGTAACATTTTCACTTAAAACCTCTTAATTGCTTTTAGAGCTTCCAATGCTTGCAAAGAAAGCCTAGATTTCAATGATTCAGATTTCATATTTCAGACGTAAAAACAAACAGTCTGACTGATTCAGATTTCAGACTTCAACATCATCTCTTAAAATTCAGAAGTGAATTCAGACTTCAGACTTAAGCACCTCTTAAAAAACAAACGACACCTTAGGGTGCGTTTGGTGTTTAGACCAGACATGACAGGATAGAACAACTGTTCAACGTTTGGTAAGATAAAACTGGACAGAACATAACAAGTAAA